CAGTGACTCGGGCTGAGATAGTTTTACGGCTCTGTAAACAAGAGAGCTGATATCCGATAATTTTTGAGCCAGATGGTGATTTGATAATGCATTAAAGTATCAGTCTGTGTGCGTAAGTTTTCTGTAAACAGATTGACCCAATGTTAGGTATTTTCTATCGATAAGTATATCTAAGGATGAAAGGTTATTATTAGTTAAAATAAATAAGAACTACAATTTCAGATTATCACGAAATTATATATATTCACATGACAATTGTTTCGACAACACCGTGTCTTTATCAAATGTAATATTAATAATTACATACATAGGAGAACCTAGTGAAGAAATTTCAAAAAACATTTCTCAAAATGCGGTTTAAAAATATCTTTCAGAACTAACAACACAATTGGAAAATTTTTAAAAAACAATAAAACGAAGTGTCCAAAATCTCAAAAATCAGGTGTCTACAGGTTGAAATGCGGATCATGTCCTAAAATTTATATTGGACAACCAGGAAGAGCCTTCAAGAAACGCATTAACGAACATCAAAGACCGTTTAAAAACAATCGTCTAGGTTCTAATTATGCCACACATTTAAACACAGAAAAACATATTCCTGACGACAATTTCGATATTTTACATACAGTCACAAAAAGTAGAAAATTAAATTAATTGGAAGCCAAGGAGATTAACAAAATGAGACATTCAAATGTATTGCTTAACGAACAATTAGATTTAAATACCTCTCCATTATTAAACTTAAATTCTCAACAACATTAATTAAGGTTTTATTGTAATTTCTCGGTATATATCGTAGCAAGTAGTTTGTAAATATTACATTTGATAAAGACATGTAAATATGAAAATCTAAACTTTTAGATCTTATTTATCATGTTATATGGATTTTCATCAAGTAAAAGCCACCTCAGTTCAATTATTATTAGTTTCTAATTCACTGGTAAAACCTATGTTATGGTGTATAGCGTTTAAATATCTAAGAAAATCTACTAGGAATTCTTGACCATGAGGCTAAATAACAAATGTGTCATCGACGTAGGGTTTCCATAATTTTTATTTTAGATGGAAGGTGTCTAGAGCTTTCTTCTCAAAGGCAAAGGTTATGAGAAAAACATGATCTAGACAAGCGTTTTTTAATTAAGGTGAGAAGGTTTGGTTCCAGATTCTCTATTTTTAATATATCTGAAATGATGTTAAGAGTTTCAGGAATAGGGAATTTAGTAAAGAGGGACTAAACTAAACTAAACTAAACTAACCAGAATATCTTGTGGATCTAATGTAATGCTTTTTAATTGTTCAATGAAGTGAAAGGAATTAAGTACGAAACTATCAGTTTTCCCTGTAAAGCATTTTAATAAGGAAGCCAGATATTTTGCTAGAGAATATTTTGGAGAACCAATGGTGTTGACAATAGGTCGAACAGGTAATCCTGGTTTGTGTACCTATAGGGAGTCCGTAGAGACGAGGAATTTTAGAACATATTTAGGTACAGAGTAAAATGTGAGCCTGTTTTAGTTAAGCTCTGAAGAATCCAACAGGGATGATTAGAGAAACAATAGCAAGTTCGATTCAACAACAACCTCTGCAGAAGTTTTCTAAATAGAATTACAGTAGCCTAAAAATTAACAAGTAATAACTTGTTTTGAACATAATTCCGTTAAAGAGGATACGCAATACATTAAATATAGGAAAAAAGAAAATCATTGTTTCTGAGTGACCAACATTTAACCAAAGTAATGCCATATCTTTAACCTGCCTTTATATCGCACATCGCGAATACAAAATTCGACATCATCGAGCAATCGACGCCCCCGCAATTGAACTTTCCCAATTAAAAAAGGATCGGAATTGCTTATAATTCAAGAGACTTCGTCGTAATTACTTCCGGCGACAGCGGCGACGGATCCAGACCCGTTAATGATATAGTTAGCGGCGGACCAAGGAATTTTTATGCCCGGGCTTCTTCGCTAGTCGCGAAATAAATTCTAAATTCCAATAAAGCTCCTTGTTAACGGCAGTTTAAAAAGTTCCAAAGGGAAAAATGCAGTTAGCGGGTTTCGCTTATAGAATTTCCATATAAATAGTTTTATAGCCTCCCAGGCAGTTACCGGTTTTCCTATGCAATTGAAATAAACGTCCTACTCGACTTGGTTTATTTAAAATGAGGTTTAAACTTGAACGTAGGGCGTCCATTTAATTATCCGCTTTGCTATCTTAATAATTTTTCCTACTCTGCTGCTTGTTTCGAAGGCTACGTCATTTTCTGCACACTTTCACAAGAATATAAGTGGTTTTTGTTGCATTTTTTGTCTGTTTTGTACAAAACTTGAGTTTTTGTGCAATAATAGATAATTTATTGCATTTTATTGTCAAATGAAGACTACGTGAGGCACGGGTTTACTAGTTCATTAGATTACGATAGGGACGACTCAGGTATAGTCTGTTTCAAACTTCATCGTGTTGGCTTTTGCTCGCAATTATGGAAATTACCTGCCGACGGCATAATAATTTTTATTTTTGTTTATTTAGGTGGGTGTAATCTTGTTAAAATAGAATAGAACTATATTAACCATTCAGATAAATTACAAAAACAACAAATGGTACGTCAAGAGTGTGGCAATTGCAATGGTTGTTGCAGTGGAAAAAATATATAAAATATACATTAATAAAGTACAAACAAATTGCACTAAATTATACAAAATAGTTCTAGATAATAGATAAGATGTGAATAATACATAAGGTGGAAAGTAAACATATAGATAACAAAATATCATCGGTGTCATAAAAGGGATTCTCTATAAAGAAAATTTTTGATTTTCTGCTTAAATTGTCTGGTTGGTGGATTTTTAAGGCTGCTCGGGAGAACATTGCATAATTTAACATTGATCTTATTAGTTCGCGAGGACATCAGTCTGGGTAGGAAGATCGAGTCAGCTGGCCTGGTGTTATATATTTACTAGTTAGTGTGCGATAAGAATCAGCATTATACAGAATAATCTCCAAATCTGCGAAGATGGGTCTGCAGTGTTCACGAGGACCAGCGCCGCTAAGTGGCCGCATGGCCTTCTTTTGCAAAGGAAAAGCTTTTTCGGAGTATCTTACCCCACCCCACAACACAACACCGTAAGACAACACACTGTGCAGCAGACCGAAGTAGGCCGTTCTTAAGGCCAACATTGTTAGACAGTGGCTGAGATGTCTTAACAGGAACGAAGGCCGGGACAGTGTGGCGCAGACTTCGTCGGTCTGGCCGGTCCATGATAGAGTTCTGTCAATTACAAATCCCAGTAGAGTAATATTGTCTTCATGAAAAAAGTCTACTTTGCTACAAGAGAACGTAAGTTCTTGAGTTTTTTGTTGGTTAAGGACTAGGTTGTTTGCAGAGAACCACCGTTGAAGGACCCTCACAGTCTCATAAACGTTTTCAGTAAGCATTTATGATTCCTAGCCGTTGAGAGAACGGCAGTGTCATCCGCGAACAGGGTCACATTTGCATTGGGTATGGACAGCGGCACATCATCATATCCCCGGACCACCCTGCTCACAAAGTCTGTGAGCGCATAGGTTGTGGATTTCTTTTCACGAAACCCGAACTGAGAGTCGCTCAGAAGTTTGTCGTTTTCACAAAATCCTGAAAGGCGGGTTTTTAAGACTTTCTCGATCACTTGACCAAAACTAGGGATGATTACAATGGGCCTAAAGTTATTTGTAGTGTGCTTGTCTCCTTTTTTATAAACAGGAATTATTTTAGATAGTTTCAGCTGAGATGGAAATTCACCACTTGAGAACTCTGCATTTGTTAAAACCGTAATAATAATAATGATGATAATAATAATAATAATATTCATTTATACCAAAAAATATATAATTTAACAACTTATTGCAATGTAAACATGAAATTAATATTAATACAAAAAACACTTATATTCAAGGTATACTAAGTTAAAGACTTGACGGCCATCCTTGGCAAATTAATTTAACTATGTTTCTCATGTATCTATCTATCTAAAAAAAGAAACGATTTTATATAAGAGTAACATCACGTCAAGTGGATCCCCCATTTACCACTAGAACATAAAAAATTAATCTATATATATTTTTTATAAGTACTTATCATGGAAAATTGATCTCTCTAACGATTTTTTAAAATTTTGATTTTAACAAAAAAAAATTTTATAATGTAAATTTGAAGCACTTTTTATAAAAAAAATTATTAAAAATCAACCGTAAGAGATAAATTTATGAAATTTTCAGCATCTATGGTCAAAAGTCTATACTTTAAGAATATATTAACGACGTAAAATTATTTGTTTATTTCGTATTGTCAACTAACTTTTAAGTTAACAAATGGCATTTAAACTGATTTCTTGGTAAAAAAAAAATCATGTTTTTTTATAGGTCACATGCTTTACACATTTAAGTTTAAGATTTTGGAAGAAAATTTCACTGCGCCGCGCTGCTGAGCATCTCGAACTACATTGAAGGTGTTATCAGTCATAATTTGAAAATAATAATACAAAATATTTTTATTTTTTTTAACAATGTTATAAAGAATACTATCATTTTTTCATTATTTTTACCATGGTCTTGTTCTCTATTTTTTGGATTTTTTGTTGTATATGTAAACGCTATACGATATACAATAAATTTCTTATCTGCATGAAAAAAGCAGTAATTAATTTGGGCTTACAATCGTTAAAAAAAAATCTTTCAGACTTCCCTACTTTGATAATCGAATGAAGTATATACTGTATATTTTGCAAGTGCAGGCTTAGAGCAAAATAAAGATATCAAATACATAATAATTATTAATAGTTTAGCTTTTGCGATTTTCTTATTCTTACCAATACCTAAATTTAAACGAAATTCTCGTAGTCTTGAAATAGGGACGGTGGAAATTCCTAATACCATACGTACGAAACAAAGAGCTTTCTCTAGATGCGACGCTTCGAATAAAGGCTTAACAAAATGCAAGTAATAGCGAACGAACGCGAACTTACCTTAACAGGGATTCCCTGGATTTCCAGTCTTTGTTCCTGATAACCGTCCTTAAACAGCTGCTAACTAGCAGCAAAGTAATAAAGCACACGATAGTTTGACGGTGTTTAATGGACGCGTTCCAGGTTATCTGGATGCCGTGCACGATCAGCAGGATACAACCTAAGCTGGAACGAAAACAAGGGATGTTAGTTGACGTTTGTTTGCAGCGAGCACTCTGGTGCGAAATTTGAGAATAAAGGAAACAACCCTTTTTACCTTAGAGATGATTAATGTATTAACAATGTATAATCAATAATTAATTACAAAAAGATGTTCACGGTGTAATCCTGGACTAAGGAAGAGGAGTTGGAAGATATTCAGCGGGTTCAAATATGAGTCCAATAACTTAAGGAAATTCAATGCATAGACGATATAGGCTAATATCACAGATGCTTGAAGACCATAAGTTGCCATATTAAGAATGTAAAAGACTTTTCCAGAACACCAAAAGCACTCACTACTCAAAATGGTACCTCAAGAATTTTCAAATATTACGAAACTCCTGACAAAACAGTTACCCCTTTTAAATTAGAAACAATGGTCTATGGTGAAATCCAGTTGTAAAAACTGAGCCGTTCATTTTGAAAGCGACTTAAGTCCATTTATCTTTAATTTGAAGTACTTAAGGTTTTTCATTTTTATAATATTAAAAATATACGTAAGATGTATGGTTGACTTGCAATCTTAAATCGCACTTAAGGGATTTAATTTTATACATCCTATTAAAAAGTCGCTATTATTAAGTGTATAATATTACCTTGCTTACTTTAAAAGGACTTAAGAGCTTAAGTCAGTTACATATAGATTAAAAAATAGAAAAAAAAAATTACATTTTTAGAAAATACAATTAAATTTGGTAACAAATTATTCGTTAACATTCTCAGAATGCGGGAGTGATTTGAAGTAGTTATGGTGTTCCGGAGGCATATACCGCATAGGTCCATATATAACGATGGCAATACAATGTTCTCAAATTTTTTAGGTCATCCCCAACGTGGCAATAAATCAAGAATTTTAAATTCTGCGTTCTCATCCATGGTTGTTTTGTATAAAATTTTGTATGGTTCATTTCTTAAAAGTCGCATCCGGCATATTTGAAGCCATTTTATTTTTTCTCCGTTCCAAGAGTCTTGTTGATATAAAATCCTCTTGTTTCATTTCATTTAGTATGAAATTATTAACTTTTCGGCAATTTTTAATTATATTTTAATAATCTTGTGGCACATACAATAACTGATTTATTTTTAACATTTCTTTAAAAAAAAAAAAATTGTGGTCTATGATTTCCACATCCTTTCCCATCGATAGAATTTTTAACCACATTAAAGACATTTTGATGTGTCTGTTTTCTCTTCCACACATGTCACTACATGCAATGATGTGTTTTTCGTCTTTCAGGGTTTTTAGTTGTCTCAAGAGGCATGAAGCCATTTCTTGGGAACTTTTAGAAACTTTTCTTTCATCCCAAACGTACATGTATACATTATCGTTGTGGAAATTGTGTATGCCTAAATTTAAAATATACATGTTACATTTATAGTAAGCTACTGAAGTAGTAAATTTTGGCAATGGTAACGTTTTCTGCAAATCGAATGAAAAGCCAAAATAATGCGATGGATTACTTGAGACTCCCTCTTAATCTTGTTTTAACTCATTTCTAGCCGATTCTGCTAGCTTCAAATGAATATCATGTTCTTCCATAAGTTTTTTCTGTTCTTCATTGTTTCGTGTTAATGTTTAATAGATCACATCTTTAACATGTGTCTTTGCGTGGTTGGTGAAAATGTAGATTAAAATCCTTTTTGAATATTTTTCTATAAGTCCATTCATTAACTGCTTTTAAATTATTTTCTTCACAGTGAAGCTCATAAATATTAAAGATTTTTTTTTATAGTCAGTGCAGGATGAAGATATTTTCTGTCATTATTATGGTCTCTAGTATAATGGGATTCAAATTTCGGGAAACTGTTAATATGGTTCTGAACAATCATATTTGCTTCATCACATATTTTTCTCGAAGCGCGATCCAAGCAAACGCCCACGTAAATCGTTGCCAACGTTTTTAGATTTTGATAAACGTTTCAATCGTCCTTCGCTTATTTGAAAAGTATCTAAAAAGAATTTTTTACAAACAGCAACTTTGCCTGTTTTACAATTTAACCAATATGTAAAACTCTTATTTCTACATCAACCTTTTCCGTTTTTCTGACGTCTTCTTTTTACAACTCTGCGTCCGGTCGCTTCGTACAGGATATTTTGCTTATTAAGCCCATCCTACCCAAGATATTCTGTAAGTTGCTGTTATCAGTGGTCTTTCCAACCTTTGCATTGAAATCGCCTAGGATGATTAAGGGTTCCTTTTTGGTATGGCGAAACTAATTGCTCTATTTCCTGGTAAATATCCTCTACTTGTTGGCCGTCTGCGTCAGAGATGCCTGTTAGTAGCCTTTGCACGGACAGTAACTCTAACAATGCAGTCGTTGATTATTTGGTAGCTCTCCACGTATTTCGCCGTTCGTTTATTGATCACGAAAATCTGATGGTCATTAGTTGTGAAATCTTCCTTACCTCTCCAGTTTGTTTCTGTCAAACCACATATATCTATTTCAGGACAATAGGAGGCCCCTTACCCTTATCAGCTCCTCCACCCGTAGCTGTTGGCTGACAAGGGGAAATTATTTATACCGGTAATCATTCGGTCGACATATTGCGAATACCAACTACTAAAACAGTCCCCAAAAAATCATTATACAGAAATTATGCAGAATCAAGTGTCAAATCGAAATCAACATTCAAAAGTTTAAAAATTGCTGCCAGCTTCATACAATGATAAGAAAATAATAGAAAAAGATACAAAATGTTTCTTAAAAGATAGTCCCAATTTAATCTGCCAAAGGAAAAGTAACAGTAGCTATGAACAAAAAAATTTATAGTGACCCCACATTTTCACTTGATGGTAAAGAAATTGAAAGCTAAAGATGGTCTAGATGATCTTACCACTTACAACAGTGTTTGCCTCAAATATTATGGTTTTCTTAAGTTACACAAAGAAGATCTTGTGCCGGATATCTTAGTTCTTTTACAGCATTTAGCAATTTAGGATTTAAGATACTGAAAATGCCAAAAATTTTCAGTTTGTTTCAAAACGTGGTAATGTAGATTATCCATGTGTGGGACGTTATTCCCATTTTTGAGAATTTTTAAACTTTGGGTACTCAGTCGGAAGGCATATAAAACGCTTACTGTACCTACCACGTTTGGATACTTATGTATTATACAACATTGTTTGTTCTCTCCTCCGAGTGACGAACAAACCTTTTCCACAGCTTATCTAGCTTTTCCGAAACTAGTTAACTCCACCGAACTAAGCTAGAAGACAAACAACGCTGAAAGGCGCCTAACTTCGATGGGATTTGCGCCAAAATTCAAAACGAGAGAAGACACGCACCCACCGATTTCTCCATTTGACGAAATTACCGATGCGGAAATACATTTACAGTCGGCGAAAATTGATGAAAAGGCGTAATTCAGGAACTAGAAGAGAAAGTTAAATGCAAAAGTGGCTTTAAAACTTAGATAGATCTTTATTATTACCTGACCTATTTCAGTCTTGTTTCATATTTTCGTTGCTTATAAAAAAAGATACTCTTGTCGTTTATTTACCACACTTGTTGCATAGTATAAATATAAATGTCAACTCATGACTGATTACCACGGGAAGAACGCTTCTTCAATCAAAGCTTTAGACCTACAGGTCGTTCCATTCAAAATGAGTTTCTAATCAAAGTTGAATTTTTTTGTTCGCTAATTTCAGAGAATTCTGTTTATCTGGAAACCCATACAAGATACGAAAAAAAGTTTCGCACAGAAGTTACTTGGACTCTCCTGAAGATTTAAAATATTATAATTTAGTTGATACAGGGTGTCGCAAAAGTGCCCCCTCCCCCTCCGACATCAACTTTGTTATTTTAAATGAAACACTCTAAATATTTCGGTATTTTTGGAGTCCTTGGTTGAATTAAATGTCACTTTTTTAAAAAATTCCTATTCGAATTTTTCATAGTTTAGGCAGAAAATGAGGTTATGTGTCTTTTTTCATATTTTGATTGCCCCATATAAACTTGTGTTGTGACGCTACTGATCCAGATATTGCAACGAAAATTTAACCACGGTCTAATCCGTTTGACAGATGCGCCTCAGCTTATACAGGGTGTCCCAAATAGGAGGTGCCGTTTTTTCGAATTCAATTAACGAAATCTTAAGATTTTCAAATTATTTTTATTCAGATGTCAATTCTGGGACAAAAAATTTGGTAAGTTTGTAATTTATCTTATATTCAAATTTTACTTTTTCGAGGTTTAAGAAAACACCGAAATCAATTATTCTAAAGCTGCCCACTTGTTGGGAATATTAGGTATTTTTTAAATAGCAAAGACATGATGATATGAAATAAAGCAAAATCATAGCAGAAGAACAAAGCAAGAGCAAAAATTCCGATATGCGAAGAACAGATCAACAACAGATGCCATCTTTATAATTCGCCAGTTAGTGGAAAAGTCAATAGAATACAACAACCCTGTCTTCATGTGTTTCGTGGACCTAACAAAAGCGTTTGATAAAATACAACTGAATGACATAGTATACTTACTTAAAGAAAAAATGTATCTCCTAAAAAAATAAGAATCAAAAGACAACTCAATTAGAACTGCTCCGCTAAAATAAAAGCTGAGCGTAAGGTATCTGAAGAAATAAAGGTAAACACAGGAATAAGACAAGGAGACAGCTTGAAACCTGATTATGGAGAAAATGATAGAAAAAGGAAAAAGATTAATAGGATAGGAAACACAAACATCACGATTCTATGTTACACGGACGATGCGGTACTGGTATCTAATAGCGAAGACAGCCTACAGAGAATATTACACATATTTAATAAAACCGCAAAAGAATACAATATGGCAATATCAACAGAGAAAACTGAATGTCTAACAGTATCTAAGGAACCAATAAGATGTAAGCTGGAGATAGAAGGGTCAATCATAAAGCAAGTAATGTTAACAAGATACTTAGGAGTAGATGTAACAAGCCGCTGAGATATTTACCAAGAGACGATGTACCAAGTAAGGAAAGCAGCAGTCACAGCAGGTGCAATAAGAGATATAGTGTGGAGAAATAAACATCTAGGAATAGAAACGAAAACAAGAAACTATATAACATGTATATGACCAATGCTTACGTATGCCATAGAAACCAGAGCCGATACAAAGAAAATAAAAGAAGCGCTAAAAACAACTGAAATGAAACCATTAAGATGCATAATAGGAAAGACTAGACGAGACCATGTAAGAAACGAAGATATCTGGCAACAATGTAATATTCAAGATATAGTAACAAATTGGAATCAACACGTAGCGAGAATGGAAGAGCATAGATTAGCAAAGATCACAAGAGATGGAAAACCCGAGGGAAAAAGATCAAGAGGAAGACCACAAAAAAGATGACAAGATAGCAAGATAGTCATTAGAATCACAAATAAGATTAAATATTACTCAGTAAACACAAGTCATTGGACTTAACGTAGGAACAAGAAGAAGAAACAAATAACTAAAAAAAAAGGATGGACATCCTATTATTTAATGCAAGAATCTTGTGTCTAATTTTTTCATTACAGTTATCAACTGTGTAGCAATTTCGCGATTTATACACACAATCCTTTAAAGTGCCCCACAAAAAAAAGTCCATGGGTGTAAAATCGGGACTCCGCGGTGGCCACGCAATCTCACCATTTTTACCAATTATATTTTGAAAATTTACTCTTAAAAATTTTATCACCTGATGACCACAATGATAGGGCACGCTATCTTGCTGAAACTAATGTACTCCGGCAAGTTGTCGCCCAGGTTGTTTGCTTCTGGCATTATTGTATATATCACAGTGTGAACTTACCTCGGTATATACAATACTCTTTCGGCAACTACGAAACCTACGGTCAGGAGGAGATTGGACGCTGGCAAAAACGGGAGAATTAGTAGCAGTACTCCCAGCACTAGCGTCGGTTGCTTCAAAGTCTGCAACACAAAATACGATGGATATGTTAGTCTCTGCCGTCATTGTACAAACATCAAGAGCAATTTTTGGTAAATATTTGGGCGGGAATTGTTGGAAATTACTTCATTTTACCATTTTTAATGCGATGAAGGCTAAATTATCGCCGGATTTTAGGAGATGCTTTGCCAATTGCTAGAAGAAGTCTCAAATTTAATTTAATCACTTTAGTGTTACAGCAAGAGCGTATTTAAATAACACATTTAATAACCGATTGGTATAGGACCGCCCTAGATACCCAGGTTTAGTTTGGACTTTTTCTTATGAGGGAATCTTAAAAGTTTATCGCACACCAATTAACACTGCAGAAGAGCTGAAGCATCGTATAAGAGCTGTCTGCGATTTAATAAGAAACACGGGGGGTATAGTTTAAAGAATGCGCGGCAATATGGTGAAGATGCCCTCCAATGTGTAGAACATTATCAACAACTTTTCTACTTTCTATGTCCTACTTTTTTTCAAAAACGTTGATAATTAATAATAGTAGGTACTGTTTTTTTTTTAAATAAGAATCGTTTATTATTTATCTTGTTGTTAGGATGTCTTGTTGTTAGGATGTTATATGGATCTGAGTGGTGACGGATTAAAACAAATTAAGAGATCAAATCTGCTCATAAATGAATGCAAATGTCATTTTTTAAAGGAAATCAGCGGCGTGCCACTATGTACAGATAATATTTTCGTTAATTATGTACTGGTTACATCGAGAACATTTTTTTGTAAAAAACAAAATATCTATCTAAAACAAAATATCTAGTTTTCAGTTAGCAACTAGTTTCCTTCAGAAAAAAAGTCTGTTCTCTTTATAATAATAATAAATAGCCTTTATTATGACAAAAAAAAACAATATTCAATATTAATATTTTTCAACGAGAAGTAAACAGATAGCTCAAAATCGGCGCAGTCTAGCTTTAAATAGCTACTCTACTGAACCGCTAAAGAACTATTTATATAATTAATAAATTGCGCACTACTTATTGAAATAAAAAATGGATGAATAACAAATAAAATATGAAAAATACCTGCAACTAAACTCTACTACACACTATAGAAAATGCAATTGAAGATAAAGAATTTGATAACATAATTAGCAATACATTATTAGAAAAACTGTATTTGTAACAAATGATCTTTGTACCTTTTTTTAAATGAATATAAATTTAAGTTACTGAATTCCAGTGACAAAGAATTATAAACACGAATTGCGTTGAATGTGAAAGATCTACGAAACGAGGCACTCTGATGATCTTACACTCACAGAATGGATAGTACTCCTAGGAGTAAGCCGCTCTCTCAGCAAAGTGGGCGAATCGAGGTTATGGATACTTTTCATAACGAATACGTTGAAATGAAAAGCTCTTCTTTGTTCCATTTTAAGCCAATTAAGTTGATGATATGCAGCAGATACATGGTCATATTTTCGAAGACCCATAATAAAACGAACACAAGCATTCTGCAACCTTTGAATACGGCACTTACACTTGTTATCAATAAAAAAACCATACATTACATCATAATAGTTAAAATGTGAGAGAACAAGTGACTCAGATAATTGTTTCCTTAGTCTAAAGTTTAAAATATGTCTGTTACTACATAAGATTTTTGGAGATAAATATGCCTTTTGAAATATTTTTTAAAGTAGTTTAACTTGATTTTTATTTCCAAATATCATTAAATGCGATGCTTCAAATTATGGGCACGAAAAAGTTCAATAATCCTGTTAAGATCTTGATTTATAAATACCTCTGCATCCATGCTACTATTAAAACCAAAACAGCAATACATTGAGCAGAAATGTTAATCAAGAAAAAAAACGGCCCCAAAATGGAACCTTGCGGCATCCCAATTTCTTTCGAATATCTGCTATCACAGTATATTTTCTAATATCGATAGAGGAAAAATCATAGAAATTCAGCTTGGAAATCAATGGTTCACCGTATCGAATGCCTTCGAAAAATCCAAAAGTATTAAGGCACTCATTAGTTTTTTGTCAGTGGCTCGGACAATACCATCAATGACACTTATACTATTCTATTATCCATTATATAGGTATACATTTGATTATAAAGAACTTTTTCGTACATTTTTGATAGTGCCCATAATATAATTATTATTATTATTATGTAATGGTTTTCCAAGTGACGTTTTCCAGAATTTTGGAAAATAGTTTACTTCTACGGAAGAATTAATAACGAGAGAGACATACTTATCAATGAAAGGACTGCAGTATTTAAGCATAAGTCACTTGTATAATTTTAATGAAATAAGATAACATCTAAACAAAAAAATAATCGATTCTTATTAAAAAAAAAGTACCTACTTTTAATAATATTACAATATATAAAACTGTCTATTAATAAATTAACAACATTTTTTTTTATTAAGTAGAACATAGAAACTTGTTGAAAGTGTTTCTTATTAAATCGCAGGAAGTTCTTATACGAACCTGCAGTTCTGCTACAGTGTTAATTGGAGTGCGATAAATCAGACTTTTAAGATGTTCTCGTGAAAAAAGTCCAAACTATTTAAATATGGGTACCAACGCAACCTACCGATTAAATGTTATGTTATTATATATTAGTATATTAGTATACCAAGTATAAGCAAATCAGTAGACGATGGAGAAAAAGTACTGTGCGTTTTTGTTGATTTGGCTAAGGCGGTTGATCATCACAAATTAATTGAAATCTTGAAGGCCGGTGTCAGGGGTGTTGCCCTAAATTGTTTAAATAGTTGCCTTACCGAAAGAACACAGAAAGTTGAAGTAGGCAATGTAGTTAGTGAAGAAGCAAATGTAGAGTTTGGCGTTCCCCAAGGGACAGTTTTGTGCTCGGTATTGTTTATACTTAATAATTTATTTAACATAAAATCTCTTGGAGAACTAATAAGCTTTGCGAACGACTCTTCCATAATCTACAGAGATAAATCCTGGCAAGCATTTAAAAACAAAGCCGAACATAACCTAGAGCAAATATTTAAATGGTCGAGTTATCTCTTTACCGTCAATTACGAAAAGACTAATTTTATGCCTTTTCGATGGATGTTATTCCGACTCTCTCCCAGACTTCCAAGAACTGAATATCAAAATAAATGCGAATCATTCTGTGTCCATAAAATATAAAACCGCAATCAAATATTTAGGGATTATACTTGATCCGCATTTAAAGTGGGTTGAGCACGTAAAATATACAAGTAACTGCTTAAGATCCTTAATCAGAAAATTTAAAGAATTGAAAACATATTTTGAAATGTCGTACTTGAGAACCTTATATTTCGCACTTGTTCAACCACATTTAAATTATGGAATAATAGTTTGGGGGAGAGTGCTCATCTCATCTTAGAACGCTAGAAATCTCTCAAACGTGGATATTAAAAATAGTTCATGGCAAGAAGAAACTATATCCAAGTAATAAGTTATTCCGAGACAGTGAAGTTCTAGATATTCGTCAACTTTTTGTGCAAAGTATAGCAATGCGACAATATAAGAAAAAAGATACGTCACAAACCATAAAACATAATCATAACACCAGGCACAAAGTAGTAACAGGTTACCTTCCTCAAACCGACACCTCACTAGGACAAAAATTCTTTTTGTACTTAAGCCCAAATATCCACATTGAGTTACCGATTGAAATCAAAAATATAAATTCTTTAACTTAAAAAAAAAATAAATTCTGGAATGTGTCAAACTATCCCCAACAATGATAAAAACACTTAACCAAGAAAACGTATCCAGAACTAGACTAAGCTGTACCTGATCATGACAAACCAATGGCTAATAAATTTAATACAACTACATTCCAAAACAAGCTTGTTATTACAACATAATTTTATTGCTCCCTCGATAAATTATTAAATTACGTCTCCTGTTTCATTTTCATTTTATTTTTCATTCAATTTGTTACCGTTCGATTTTTCATTATCCTTTTGACTTTTCCAATTTGTGTTGATTTTTCCATACTTAATTACATGTATAATTTAGGTAGTTATTCGTTATCTTTCATTAACACTTTTTACTTTCCATAATTATATAAGACCTATAAGTTGAATTCTCACCGACAAGAAGTATTTCTTTGGTGTTATTTTAGTCTATTTATCAAATAACCGTAATTATTTTACTCCCACTTCTACTAAATAATTTTTTCATTAATTTTTTTTAACTTTTATTTTTTTGTTGATGTATTTACGGGAAGTAGTATGATTAGCGTTATATTATAGTCGTGATATGGTGGCTAATATTGATTGATAAACAAACTTATTATTATTATATTATATATTATTAATGTGAGATTTAAATATTCTCTTACTGCAACAACAACATTCTCTGGACAACATCTGTTGCTAATTAAATATGGCAATATTGGCAAATCCTCTTCTAAAAATCGGTGATAATTATGGCCGTTTATCCTAAACTGCTTATTTAATTTCTGGAGTGTTTACAATCCGATGGGCCCTTTTCAAATGATTATATGTCCTTAGAGTACCTGTTTCAGACAGCTTTCTATGTACATTTCAAAATGTCCGCCTATCTGGTATGACTCTATTAGGAAAGCGCTCTTGATTTAATCGCCCAGTTTCCGGGCACTGCCATTATCCAAACCATAAATAAAAACGCATATCTGCCAACTTCTCATCAGTAAACTAGAGCATTCTATTATTTTTTTAAATAACAACGCTCGGATATTTTAAACTGTCAAATAACCGCCTTGACAACAGAATTGACAATTCTTACGGACAGCCTACTAAAATGATGGTGGTACACTCAATAATGCTTTTTGACACATAGTTCATGTGTGCTAAATTCTATTAAAATATCTAAAGCGATATTACAGTCACAGTATCTCTAAATGCTATTACAGATATTAAAAACATATATATATTTTTTTTAACTGCATCGTAAAAGTTCAGATGTTTGAGACATGTGTTGATGAAACAACGCTAAGACGCTAACATAACGTTTGAC